ACTGGAGTGACAGACTGTGCTTGGTGTCCATCAGCGCTTTGCGGCCAGGGAAACCGAGAATGCTGTTTGGTTTCTTTGGTGTTCGGTTTAACAAAGAAAACACGGATTAAATAAATTTGACACTAATTTAATGGTGCCAGGTCTTTAGGCCTGTAATAAATAGGGTAATATGAGGGAAGATGGGCCACTTAAGAAGAACACTGTGCCTTTACAGGACTAATATTGATGTCTTTAGGATGTGCAGGATGCATTATCCAATATTTTAACAAACAAAATAAATGGAAACTTGATGGCACAAAATAAAAATCAGGGGTAAATGACCCTCTTCCTGTGACAACAACTATTTTTTGCTGAATATGTATCATAAATGTATGTCTGCATCTGTGTGCATAAATGATAGTTTTGCTAATGTACAAGACTAAATCAAATATTCTGTGTAACATATTCTAACAATTTAGTTCAATTCAAATCAAATACCAGAATTCAGTATGTAAGTGTTCAGTCAGAATTATTTTTATGTTTTGATATAAGATTATACTTAACCAGGCTGTATTTATTTGATCAATCAATAATACAGTAAACGTATAGTAAAATGCAGATCAACACAGTAAAAACTGGAATATTGTAAAATATTATTACTATTTAAAATACTCTTTTCTATTTTAATATATTTAATATATGATTCATTCCTGTGATGGCAAAGCTGAATTTCCAGCTGCACATTGCATATCCAGCATCTTCACATTATTTTAACAGAATCTGCATTTTATTTTTATTTTTTATTTTATTTATTTTTTTTATTTTTTATTGCAGGTTAACAAAACAGTAACACATACCAGGTAAGATTCAGTGAGACACATCTACAATACAGAAGTAGGAAAGGGGAAACAAAAAAAAAAAACAACAAAAAAAAAACAAACAACAGAGAACAGAAAAACTCACAACAGCCCCACACAGTTATCGACAAAGTGGTATATGTAGGCACACGAGATCCTTTCTGTGATGCAATTCGGTAGTATCTGAATAGTTGTAGAGGATATGATAGAGACTTTGACAAACACAAAGAAATATATATCTATATTTCTATATATATCTATATCTATATATATATATATATATAGAATCTGCATTTTAAAAGAAAGAAAATCCATTCCACACCACTATTTTAAAATCAGAATGGATTATGTTGGTATATAGCCTGAAACATGGCCATGCATTTCAGAAGAGTGCTTACAGGTACTGTATATTAGATTACATACACTAATTTGTTTTCAGGATGTAGCATGAGTATATGACCACCTAGTTATAAATTCAAATGAATACAGCAAGCGAGGGACGCATGCTGGAGTTACTAGTTAAAGGCTTTTAGAAAGGAAGAGAACATGTGGAAGCGTCAGCTGATCTGGAAGAGGACCTTTACTCTTTTCTCCCTCTGTAAATCTGAATCTCTTCCTAGGTCAAAAGAAGATCACAGCTAGTTTTGGTAGGCACTATATCTTCAGGCTGGTAACACTTTGACGGTACGCCCCAGAATGACTGTGGGTTAAGTGCTCCCATAAAGATCCATATGTTTCCTGCATGTTCTAGTTCAGGATTCCCACATGTAGCATAAGTTGCTAATGTTTGACTTCCATAGCAGCGAGGTCAGAATCCATAATACACCTTCAATTCAATTTCCTTCAAAAACGTTGCTCATAGTGAGGTGGGGAGGGGGGGTGCGTAATGACTACGTGAGAGGCCCAATTTAGTCATCATAGGTTGCTTCCTGTGAAGGTCCCATCTACAGTCTACATGGGTTTCAATCTGGTTTAACCAGCGTTGCATGAGAACAAAAAAGGCTGTTTCGGAGCAATTTTGCTAGTCATTTACATGACTACTTCCTCCACGGGTTTATCGGCCATGCCTTCGATCCCATCTGGACAACATTTGTCAGCTGAGGATTTGTGTATGCATCACATTAGGTATGAATCAAATATGTTTTGAAATTTGAAAGTAACGGACAAAAGAGCAACAAAGCAAAATCAAAGATCCCTGAGAATAATCGAAAGTGAATTCCCCTCCAAAGGAGAGAACGCGAGAGAAAGAGAGAGAAATTAACCAGATCTTTGATTCGTATTAAGCCTCCTATTAGCAACAGATGAAGTTGGCTGCTAAAACGAGTGGCGTTTGGATGTGGAAATGAAATGTGTAAACTATGTAATGCGAATGTTTTAGCTAAGCTGTGTTTAATTTTCTACCCTGATGAAGTGCATGAGAAACCTGTCTCCCCTTAGCTGTCTCATTGAATCATATGGATATAATTTCATCCATTTACGTTTTTCTGCTCTTTGCTGTGGTTGCCAGGGGGCATTTGGAAACAGGCAGATTAAAGGCACATGTTCGCTTTCGCCTGTAGTTTTTAGCCACTCCATCTGAGCTCCGCTGTTCTCCGTGCCGAAAGACGTGTCGGCGGTTTCTCTTTTACAGGTCACAGTTACTTCAGGCGCTCAGCGGTAAACCTCGTAACACCTTTCGTTCTCCAACAGGAACCAGAATCGATTTCGTACAAGTGCTGATCACAGAACATCTCCATAACCCGCAGACAGCGTATCTGAGAGCGCTGAGGCAATTTGGATGTCACAACGAATTACAAAAAATGTGCCGGACCGTAAGAAAAGAAGTCATGGTGCTCATTAAAATTGCCTTTAAGCCCACTAATTAGGAGTAATAATGTATTTAATGCTTGTTAGTTGCTTAAGGTTTTAATGTCTGAATAAACGCATGCCTGAGGGAAGGTGAGATTGGTAGTTACAGTATAATGGGGAAATATGTTTTATGTTTCAGAGCACCTCCGAATGTTAACGGGAACAGCAGTGGACCTTTGACTCCACGGGAAAGAATGTGGCCTGAATGCAATTCCCATAATAAGCAAATTTTCCTCTTCCTCTCAATCCAAGTCACTCCATCAGAGCTCTGTGCGACGTCAGTAAGCGACACGGCCTTATTTTTGCGCAGAAAAATGTGTCATAAAGGCTGGCTTGTGTTCTGCAGGTATTTAAGGGTATTAATGAACTGTTTTTTCTTCCGAGTGCTTGTGTACACTACGGGCTTTTAGTTGCCCGATGCCTCGTTGGACGTTTTCGGCCGCAATCACGCTTCATTTCCCATATAGTCATCAGGTTGAGGTTGAGCGGCCTCTGCGGCCCGCAATCATCCATGATTGGCTCTGTGCCCCTGACACAAATGTCAACCCGAACTGTCACTCTGTGTGTAGACGGCAGATCCTGAGGCCCACTTCGGAAAGATGGCGTCAAATGACTTACCACAATCCACTTTCGAGGGTCATCACTCTGTTTACCCTCACACAGGCCTTCAGAGGGGAAAGCTAAACACGTTTATGCCAATTAATGTGATTAGCTCGCTAAACTGTTTTTGCAAATAAAATCAAAGGGTAGTTGAGATTTGGGAGCTGTCGTGGTTGCTATATAGCGGTTTTAAAAATGCAACATATATTTAGTTAGTTTGGAGTCTCACTTTTCACTCAGATTTTTATGATGAAGGTCTGTTTGTATCTCAGAAAGTTCACATTCCTCGGTTTACGTTTGGGGATGTTTTGATAGATGTCGTCGTCAGTTGTAAAACTGGTTGCGTTAGAATTATTTGGAAAATAATGTTCTGTACTTGGCAAATACAGGTGCATTTTTGTGCTAAGAGAATGTTATGGTCTTCAAAAAAAGAAAAAGAAAATGCCAGAGACATAAAGAGACATTAAGAGAGAAAAAGAAATTCCTCCCAGTCAAATGGATTAAACTCTGGCAGATGGCTGTGTTTGCATGGTATCCCAGAATGCTTTGCTTTGTTTGCAAGGTATCCCAGCATGCTCCGCACCTCTCTCCATTGGCAGCCAATCCTCACACTAAGGGCGGGCTTTACACGATTAGCAGGCTTCTCTCTGCGGACCCATAAATTCAATTTAGCCTGAAATTTGTATTACGTTTTAAAGAAAGCAGCGAAAGAATTATTATTTCCCCTATATATAAATACACACATTTTGGGACATACATACTCGCGGTGTTTGTTTTGAAAACTTAAGTATTTTAGGAGTCAGCACGCGACATATATCTCTGCTGTAAAATGTAAATATGGCTAGCACGTTTTTTTTTTTTGAGACTTTAAGTTCTGTGTTGTTGGTATATTCACAGATGGTTTAATGTTGTTGAATAATACAGGCACAACTTGTGGGGTCTGAATGTTCAAAAGCCCCAAGCAATTGTTTCAACCACCGTACCGTTCTATTGCTCTATAGCGCATATTATTACCTCTGATGCACTATTATTTTCTAATAAAAATGCAAATTCAGTTTTTTTTTTATTCCCTATGTGTGTAAATGTGTGAACGTGACCCTGTAATGTACCTGACTGAGTTTTTTCCTTGTTCCACATTTTTTTTAATGTGTCATATAAGAATCTGCACACTCAGATACACACACTGTATAATCCAGGTCACTCAATATATCCCAACCGTGGCAGTCTAAGGTTTCGCCCCGTATTAAATGGCCTGGCCTCAATAGCAAGCCCTTTGCGAGTGATTGAAGGAGGCCAGAGCCCGAATGATGTTCTGAGAGCCCATTAGAAGAATGGAAGGCTCTTTCCTTCAGTGAAACTCGAGCGGGGGCCTCAGTTAGAGGTCAGTGGACAATAGAGAGCAAAGCTGCCATGTCAGGTTACACCGTCTCTGACACCTCCATAAGCTGCCACTCTGTCTCATCCGAGGCTCCTTACTGGTGGGGCGGAGCTAAGAGATAGTTGGAAGGGGCGTGGCATAGTAGTCAGTCGTTTATGGTCTGTAATTTTAAAGAATTCTAATTGGCCAGACCATGAAAATGAGCTAGCGAATGTGAATTTCTTTTCTGATTTAAATGTTCATCTGAATGCATTGTTCACACTCATGAACAAATTAAGGGCAATGCCTTATAAAACATCACCCTCCGAGAAAGGTTACTGTTGTTGTCTCTCTGTCAGTTTGAAGGATGTAACAAGGCTTTTTCGCGGCTGGAGAATCTGAAGATTCACCTGCGGAGTCACACAGGAGAGAAGCCGTACCTGTGCCAGCACCCGGGCTGTCAGAAAGCATTCAGCAACTCCAGCGACAGGGCAAAGCACCAGCGCACACACCTGGACACTGTGAGTACATGAATACATTCATTCCTGCTCAACCCCCGAAATGCTTCAAAACACACGTAAACAAACACTTCTCTTTACTGACACCATCCTTAATATATAAATTAGCAGTGATGGGAAAATACAAACTTGTAGTCATGCTATACTGAATTTATTTAAATAAATTAAGTAGTTACTAGAAGTGCTACGGTTTTAGAATCATCTTAAAAGAAAACTTCATTAGAATAAATCATCCTCATAAACTCTCTAGTATGAAGGTTGGATTTATTCTAATACATTTCAGTCTAAATGATTCTCTCTCTATAGCACTGATAATTTGACTCATATTAAATCGGTTCATCCTAAAGAGTTGGAAAGTTATTCTAATCAAAAGTTTATTTCAGTGATTAGGTCCATTCTAAATGGTCCTTTCTCATTTTTAGCATTGGAAACTCATTCATTCTAGTAAATCGGTTTGTCCTTAACTGTCCTTTCATACGAGTTAAATTTATTCTGGTGATTCGGTTCATCCTAAAAAGTCATCTCATACAGGTATATACCATTGGATACTTTGATTCATTGTAATGAATTGGTTCATTTGGACACATTCATTTATTTATAAAAAAAAACCAAAAACAAGACTGTGCATATTATCTTTTTTTAGCTAGATATTTTGGTAAATGCTGCTGTTCTTCACATTTTCTCAATTATCTTACAGTATTTACAGTTTTTTTGTTGCTGTTGTTCAAAAACCTTTTATACAGTACCATTTATATAGTTTTTAAAAAGGTATTGCTCTCTTACATAGGTGATATGATGCTCCAAAATGTGTTAAGTGATTTTGTTATTAGCTTACTATTTTTTTCCTAACCTAAACTAAAGGGAGATCCATGGAGGACCTCCATGTTCAGAGCAAAAGTCCCAAGCACTTAAGTTCCCATCCAAATGGACCTTACAAACAATACCGTAAATGTGCTGTTTGCTGCCTTTCTTTGACCTAAATGTTAATTTTGCATGCACAAAACATACATACGGTTATGTCTCTGTGGGTTGATGAGGGGAAACACGTTATATCATACACCGTTTAACACCACGCTTCGTTTGTGATAGCAACGACACATGGCATAGAGAGACAAGCACGTCTTGCATCCCACTCCAACCATGTGAGGAAAAATAAAAGTCAGGGAAAGCTTGAGCTAGTCGTTTCTCACTAACTGGCTGAACCCGATGCTGTATCCACGTTACCGCCACACTGCCACAGCCAATAAGACCCTCGACCCCAGATGCCCAGTGCTACACATTAACTTGCCTTTGCGCCCTGTCACAGCCTTCCCACACGCCTCATATACAGTGAAAAAATCCCTCCGACAGTAATGATATTTATTCTTGACGGCCTTTTTTCTTTTTTCCATTCCTAAGCTTTCTCGTTTTCTGTTTTTGGTGCGTTTAGACGGCAGGGGGATTATATGGCATTGCACAGTGAAAACAAATAAATGCGCAGAGACGAGCTGCCCTGCGAGCGGCTTGTAAAAACAGCGTTATTTAGAGAACGAGGGAAGGTAGGAAAGGAGAGCTAATAAAGGAAGCCTATCCACTTTCGCTTTAATGACTGCCTCTTTTCTAGAAAAAAAAGAGCAGTGTAAAATGCATGGGAGAAAATCACCTCTGCATGTTTTGGAGCGTAAGAGTGTGTTTCAGTAAAGTTTGCCAGTGAGAATCATGTGTACACTGATGTTTATGTGAAAACGCACGTTTCAACACAACTCAACGTTGATCAAATGAGCAAAATAACACTGTAAGTGTTTGTACAGAACCTGTATACCTACACATTTACCGAACAATCTGTATTCTTCTCTTTCCTCTTCCTGTGTCCTCTCAGCTGAAAGGTAGGACACTGTCTTTCCTCTTGAACTTTGACTATCTACAGTATTAACACTCAAAATAAACAGTTACTGCACTTGTGTTTGTCCATTTACACTCAATTTGAAAGTGTAAATATTAAGGCTGATTACAGAAAAAAGTCTACTTGTAAAAATGCTTACTTTTCTGATTGAATTCAATACTTTTAAATAAAGAAAGAAAAATATGAAGAATATACTAATATAACTAATTTGACATAATATTTCCTCATTCCTAAAACCTATTTATTTCCATGTTTAAATAAAACAAATTAAATCCCAGATTTTAAATGTGGACATGGAATCATACTTTTTTTTTATATATATATATTTAGAAATGTAATTAAAACTAGTGACTTTACAGACTTTCAATCTTAAAATGTTTATTTTGAGAGTTCAAAACAGTTGCTTGTCTAAATTGTCATGTCTTTTTAGTTTCCATGTCTGTTCATAAATGTTCTACACTGTATTTAATGTCTCATATAAACTATTATTATTGCTACTCAGTTATGAATGCTGACGTATTGTAATGAATAATGTCTTTGTGTCCATAGCAGTGTGTTTCCATGTCCTCTTTGTGACTGACTTGCGTATAATTTTGATTCTTTGACTCCTTGTGCATTTCCTGTTTCAGAAACCATATGCGTGTCAGATCCCAGGCTGCACTAAACGCTACACAGACCCCAGTTCCCTCCGCAAGCATGTGAAGATTCACTCTGCCAAAGAGCAGCAGGTGCGTAGGAAGGTAAGGATACAAACAATCTCAATTCTTTTCTTTATTTCCTCCGTACAAATCATCTCATCCGAACATCAGAATAAAATTAGCTCTTTGGCTCTTGCCATCAGCCTTGAGAAACTTTTCTAGTAGATATTTTTCATGGTCAATTGTGTCTTTTTCATGGCTTGCTGCAGTTGGTTCTACTTAGGATTGTCTTTTGAAAATGATTTCCCCAACAATAGATCAACTATGACCACATTTCAGCATCTACATGGTAAAGAGTGCATTCCTCATTAAAGTGGGTAATTATAAGCAGAATGGCCTCATTGTTGCACTGGTCTAAACGACAGCTGACTGATGCGTTCTTCTTGCTTGCTGTTGTAAGCGGAAACACATGTGAGCGTGTACCATTGTTAATAAGCTGTGCAGCACTATACCCCAGTGGCCAGATGTTGTGGGTTGTCAAACAAACACTCCCACTCCATCCATCGCGAGCGTCGCCTGTTATAGCAAGCTGCGGCAAAGCACCGAAGCTCCTTTTACGTTTGATGAATTGCTGGGAGTTCTGCACAAGGATCTCAACTGGAAAATGTGCGGTTTGCGCTCTTTCGTAATATTCGAGAACTGCAGCCCATTTGCGTGTAATTAAGACGTGTTAGTTTTATTTCTAATTTGCACGTTTGTGAGCTTTTGTTTTGAAAATCTTAATTGCAGTGGAATTACAATAGCATAACACTTTCAAGTTGCGTGTCACGGCTCATTTCGGGCTATTGTTTATTGCGAGGTATCATCTCCAGATTCAGTCCACTCAACACGAGTTCATTTGACCGAAGATAATTTTCCAGTTAAACATAATTCCATGCTACAATCCAAGCTTTCAAATTCAGTCTAAAAGTCCTAAACACATATGACTCCCCGAACTCTACACGAATGTCACATATAACGCATGATTACTCCCAGAAGTTTGATTTTGTAACCTTATGAAGAGAAAAATCAGTCTTGCACCAGCAAAAAAGACCTCTCCGCCTCTCTGAAGCCAATAACGTAGCGTCCCAACCTGTACTGACGATGGAGATGGATGTGGATGCGGGGTATGTCCTTCCCCTCATCCCCTCATGTTTCCAATCAAAGGTTCCTGTTTGTGGTGAAAAACTGTTTCTCTCTAAGCTTTTCATTTCCTGCGCTGGCCGATGGGCATGTCAGCGATGAGTTTGTGTCTTTTTTACGTTTTTTAATTGAAGACTTTTGTTTCACACAGGTTTTTAATGTGATTTCATTCTTTCAATATGGAGAGATACATACATCATGCTTTGATATACAGTGAGAAAAATAAGTTATTTAGTAAAATAAGGAAATAAAAAATTGATTTGCAGCTGTATCATACAAATAAATAGTTAAAAAATCATCATATATTGTGATTTCTGGATTTTTCTTTTGTTTTGATCATGTCTCTCACAGTGGACATGCACCTACGATGACAATTTCAGACCCCTCCATGATTTCTAAGTGGTTCAAAAACTCATTTTCCCCACTGTATGTATCTCTAATCTTGCATATTTTGTTTTATCTTTTTGATTGACAGCTAAGAGCCTGCCCCCATTTAGAATCAGATGCCTTGAGTGAATGTCTGTCAATCCAGCATCTGCATGGCCCTGCCCCTTCCCAGCAATCCCACTGCCCGGTCACCTCTCAGCACTCTCTGAATGGGAAAGAAGGCCGTTCCCCAGCACTCGGGCAGGAAATGTACACAGGTAAGGCTTACTTTATCCTTTATATCTAGGGGGCCTCAAGATAATTTCAAATAATTTAAATTTAGACAAAACAACTAAAAAAAGGTTGAGATCCACTGTTCTAAACGCTGATTTCACGCAGCTGCCATTTTGAAATTGAAAGCGAGGCTCCGGTGGGAAGAATCTCGGAAGTACAGATTGACAACAATGTCTTGGACTACCAACCTGAAGCTGCTGCCGCGATTTAAACTATTAGATGTTAATATCCAATAAAGGATATGTATGTAGTTTGTTCCTGCTCCTTTTTTTGTATGTTTTGAATATACATTTAAAAAATGTATTTATAAATGTATAAATTTCACTGTAGATAGTCTAAACTATGAAAGAAATGTATGTACATTTTTAGAATAACAAATTTCTACATTAAACACAACAATACACCATCACATTCGCGACTCTCCTATGATTTAAAGCGACACTTCCGGTTTTCTTCCCACCGGAGCTAATTCAAAATGACGACTGCGTGAAATCAGCGTATAAGCACTTTCACACTTTTTTTGATAGCGGTGTGAAGTGGGTGTGGCACGAAGAATCATGGATTATATTTGTAATTAGTGGTGCTTGATAAAACAAGCATCACTATTATTTTTGCTCATACCATGAGTATTAAACTTGGGTGCAGACTTTGATTGTACTATGACTATGAAGTCAAGTGGCTTGTAACTATTTTTGCCTGCTGAAAATCGGGCGAAAATCTGAAATTCAGCTGAAATCGTCTGCTCTTTTGGCCTATAAGCAACCACTTACCATCCATTCAGAACACCCTAGCAACCATCTAGCAATGCCCAGGTAATTACCCAGAACACCCCAGCAACCGCATAGCACACCCTCTCATTGTGATACTGAGTTTTAGACAGTCACCACTCATATTTTCTTTAGAATCTAGTTCTAGTTCCAAATATGTTGAAATAATCCTAATACTAATATTTTTACAGTAATCTGAAATGTATTTAAATAATTATATGAATGATTTTAAAGATTATGTTGATTGTAATTTTATACTTTATCTTGGAGATTAACTGCTGCTTTCCAAACCTTGAGAGAAATGATTGTATGTCTTGGTCTAAAGCATCCATTACAGCTTGTTTTTCTAGGAGCATATGTGCTGTCTAATTTATGTATCCTGGGATGTTTTGTAGAGATGGGTAGAGGACTGTTCCCTCCACCCTAGAATGTACCAAAACCCAGATGTGTTTTAAGTGTACATTCACTTTCAGAACCATTTATGTGATCCAAAACCAATAAGCTACAATTTAACAGCTCAAATGGACATGACAGAATAAAGGGGATTTTAATGTTATGAAGACCATATGAATGATAATATTGCAAACAGCTGCAATGCACAATCTGCGTTAGATGTCAATTTTCCCATGCTACTTTCAATGTTATGCAATTCACACTAAATTGGAGCTAGAGGAGAGGACGCTTACCTTAAAATACCCAGCTATAACTCATGACTCTTTGATTTAGAGAGGGAGGTCAGAGGTGAAGGCTTTGCATGTTTTGTTTTGTGTTTGTTTTGCATTAGTTAAACCACAGTAGTTACAGTCCTTCCTGTTAGTCATTTTTCTTGTTCTTTGGCTTGTTCTTGTCAAAATGCTGAACATACTGTGGTGCAATAGTTAGCAATGGAGATTTCATGAAAAGGCCTGGAATACTAAAGGGATGAAAATTATGTTATCATTTACAAACCTTTGTCATCCCAAACCTTTTTTCTTTCATGGAACACAAACGGACTGACGTTTTCAATAATAAATACAATTAATTTACAGTCATTTTGATACATATAATCATAATATATGACACATATATATGATATAAATAACCCCCCTAATAAATAAAACAAATAAAACAGACACTCATTTATCATCTCATACTGGTGTAACCTAAGCCTACAGAAATACAGCCAAAACTTTATTAGCATGAACCGGGCATTTACAGTCTTTACAAAATACATAGCCATAGCTTACTTTAAGTAGGCCAGAACGTTAATTGCGTAAAAAGATGTACATGAAATGAAGGAGGAAATAAAGAAAATACATAAGAAGGAATAAAAACATAAAACTTAAATTATGATAATATAAAAATATTAAACGTATTAAATAATAAAAAAATATTAAATATTTGTTTGTTGCCAAAGGAGGAGGAAGCACAACTGAAACCGCCATGGAAGCACCTACTGGAGGACCGGGGAGAAAACTCCTTTTCCTCGATTTACTTAAGCCTATGTGTAAAACTCATTTGCAGCTGCACAGCTTGCACATTGAGCGTCTGACTCGCTCATCGGCTGTGCTGCTGCAACTGCACATCCAATGGCGTGGATGCCTCTGACGTGCGACCAATGAGCTAGCCCAACATCATTAGGGGGCCAAGGGGGCATATCATCACGGTCCAACAAGCTAATATGTCGTGGCTAGGACAAAACTAAATGAACTGAACATGTCCCCTCCCGGTCATTGTACATGAGAGTAAATGGTGACGAAAAAAAATAATGTTGTGTTAACTATTCCTTAACAGAGCAGCGATTCAGTCAAGAGGAATGTAGAACAGATCCTAAATGTTTGTGCGAGGGTAATTTGATGGACAATTGCAGAACTCCCCATCTCTCAAGCATCCTTGTACAAAACACACTTTGCACTGCAACAGCTTAATTCCCCTCCCAACTTGTGCCAGGGGAAAATAGGCGTCCTGGCTTACACCGACTCTCATTCGCTCAGTTCAAAGGAGATAAGTCGTTGCTTCAATGTGCAAATGTCTTTAGCCTGAAGGACCTGTTTTGTTACTGTGGCTGTTTGTTCTTGTTTAGAGGAGAAGTTGTGGTTGGGTCTGGCCAAGATGCCTGCATTTAATGTTCCTGATGTTTCTGCCTCTCCCTATGCTTTGTTCCGGAGCCAGTAGAAAAAGCAAAGCAAAGCAGAGAGCGGGTACCTCCGTTATTTTGTAATTTGCACGTATAAAGTGCGCTCTAGTCCTGTGCCTTTGTGTAGGTTTGCATCTGGCTGTTACAGGTACATATAATTTTGTGCATTCTCTATAGCTTACAGTATGCTTTGCATGGCTTTATATATATTGTAATAAAATAATATATATATACATGTTTTATATTTGATGTATTTTATATACTGTATATATACACGGTATTACCTAGAAATTCCCAATTACGCTCAGCCATTAGAATCTGATTCTGCCTCCTGCTGGACTCCCCCTCCCATCTCTCCAGCAGATAACAACTAAAGCAATCATGGCCATTACTTGTTGAATGCTTCCCAGTCTGGTAGCAGATGTTAGGACTAAAGGGGAAAGCATTTAAGGACTTTGATTGATGATTTCGGGTAATGAATCAAGTTTGTAACCAGTTCAGAAAACTGTCAGATAGGCCCCGCTTTCACTGTAAAGCAGTTGGGGAGGAACACAAAGAGAAGGGGTGCTAGGACGAGCCGCTGAGGACTGTCAATGCACAGAGGGCTTCTGGGAAAACAATTACTGGGCAAATCCAGAGGAACACATTAACAGCCGGAGCAACCGGGAAAAGTGTCCGCCTGTCAGTCTCTCAGGCTGCACAAGAAGCCCAGGGACGGAAGAAGCCCCTTTACAGAACGAGCAACTATCATTTTCATCTGGCCTGGTTTGCATACAGTAGTATAATCTATGGTGGGATGACATTTGGACCAGTTGGATACCTGATCTATGTCTGTTATTTCCATTATAAACTGTGGATGGAGTTGATGTATCTTCTGGGTTTTTTTTTTGGTTTTTTTTTGCTTCAAGGTTCTGTGTCCTTGGCTGAAGATCCAGCCCACCTGTTCCATTCATTTCAATGCAAGTAGCTTATAGTAGATCTGTCTCTACTTATTATTTCTGCCGTTGCATTCAAACGTATCCGATCTGTCAAAGATTTGTTCGAAATGGCAATAGTCAATCAAATCCATTCCACACAGCAACATAAATTATGTATCGTAAATTGCTAGCAGCACAGAACATTTAAATTCATCCAAAAGGCCTTGGTGAGTTTTGTGTTGTCATAACAAGCGTTTGTTGCCATTAAGGGCTGTTTTGTGGGGATTTAATTTGGTCAATGTGCCGTTCTTGAGCGCTCCTTGAGGTTTATCAGGCATGTTTTGCACATTAGTTTTGTTTGTCTTCCAGGCCTGTACGCCGGCTCCAGCACGACACACAATGGAGCCCCACTTGAGTTGCTCTCTTCTGGACCTGACCTGCCCCCCAGGCAGCCCCGCCTGGACCGCGACATTGGCAGCCCCCACCATCTCTCCCCGCTGTCTGGCCTCGAGAACACCCGGGAAGGGTGAGTACCTATCCCACCGAGCATCACGTTTACTCCCAATTGCTCTGACATAGACGTAGGTTGGATGAGACAAAGGTTGAGGTTGGATCAATAAAGATGATGTCAGATTGGATAAAGGTTGTCATCACAGTTACAGATATCACTGTAGTCTTTGTTAAAGTGGTTCTGTTCCAGTTAGTAAGCAGTGAGAAAAAGGCTGTTCTGAACACTTTTAACCAAATTCTAAGTCAGCATTGCGTGGATCATTTTAGGAAAAGGCAATCCCACAATTCATTGCAATATGCTCTGTGAGCAATCCATCCAAATGTCTGACAAGTGACAAAAAAAAAAGTTGATTATACTTTAATCTAATTAAAAATTACTGTATAATGGTTCACTCAGTAATCAATTGATTCATTTTTGAATGAATCAGCCTTTTGAATTAATCATTTGAGAGTATGATTCATTGACTTATTTCTTTTCTAAGAATTAGAAATTAGAAATTAGAATTCTAAGAAAAAGATATAGTACAGATACTAAGTAGTATGCTATTATGCTGAATCTAGCCTCTTTTTTGGATGAGTGAATGATTATTTGATTCACTATTAAAGACTTGTTTTGATCTAGAATTAATCAGTGGTTTTAAACAAATCAGTGAGTAAATGATTAGTTGACTCACTCATAAAGATTTTCTAATTCCTGAATGAATCAGTTTTGAATGAATCATTTGAGTTGAATAATTGACTCACTCAAAAAGACAGGGTCACTTGTTTGTGTCTGGAATGAATCAGTGCCCAATTTCAGAATAGATTACTAGCTTACTATTACTATTCTTGCCATCTAAAGATAAAGCACGAATAGTAAGTAGCATGTTATTGCAAATTCAGCCACGTTTTTTGATTCATTCCTGAATGAATCATTGTTTTTGAATGAATCATTGAGTAAGTGATTAATTGACATACTCAAGTGTGTTGTTCCTGAATAAATGCCCATTTTGTCTATTTATACTATGCCTTAAAAGTAAGTACTCTTTTCCTAAAGAAAAAGGGGTTCCATACCCAGGCAGAACAAAAATATGCATACTTTGTTTTCTGGTTGAAAAAAAGGATTGATAGTGTTTTTTAACAAATATTCTTAGTTGATTCAGTGACTATTGTTTACAAACTCACTCAAACACTCATTTGTCGCCACCTGCAGAAAAATCTTCACCAATAATACACAGACTGACCGTCTGTCTGAAAACTAAAAAAAGGCTCCTTCCTTGATATCATCTTATTGCTTTGGAATAGCTAGTCACATCCGAGGTCTTGTTAATATTGCAATGCAGTGAGGTTTTTCTCATAACAGCAGATTTTCTTTAGTAATCTGTGCCGTCTAATGTGTTTTTTACTGGGTGTAAGATCCATATTGATTTAGGGGCCTGGATTTATTTACTATCCAAAGCACCACCGGCAGGTTTTTCCCTTGTCCATACGGAACGTTTGTTTTCATTGTAACACTCTCCCAAAGCACACACCCTACGACGAATTTAATGCTCGTCCCTTGCTCTGACTTCAGTGTGTATTTATCCTGCAAATCCAGGTTGAACCAATGTCACCTTAACACAACATAAACCAGTTTGGAGGTGTCACTATTGTGTAATTAAAGCAGGACCGTGTTTCCAAAAAAGATTTCCAAACACACCTCTGTTTCTCTCTGTCCTCAAGCTGTGATTAGTGTTCTGGAAAGCTCAGAGAAGGAGCACAATGAAGTCTAATATGTCCCCAAAAGGACTGAGGCATGTTTCCCATTAAAAAAAACTAATTTCCCCCTGGACCAGCAAAGTAGAGCTGCAAATCCAATGTGTCATCAAGACACACTATGTGTATAGTGACAAACAGAAATGCTGGAAATGAGATGAAAATACATCTGTTCTTAAGCAGCAGATTTAAATGTGATTTTTCTGTTCTGTATCATAGTTAAATGAAAGCAAAAGTGCAGCGTTAAGTAAATTAACTAATTTCGCCCACATCTGAGAATAGAAACTTATTCAAGAACTTGTAAACACCCTGACTCTATTGAACGACAATGAGCTGTTTTCCTTCTCCTGTTCTTTTTCTCTTCACGTTTGCTCAACTGGTAGAACATTGTGCTAACAATGCCAAGGTTGTGGGTTCAATACAAACAAAAACATGTATAAACTTTTAGGTAACACTTTACAATACGGGTGCACTAATATGCATTAATTCATGCTTAACTAATACACAGATAATCATGAGTTAACGTATAACTAATGAAGAAATAAACCATTAATTAACGATTACTGCATCAGCAACTAATAAAGAGTCTATATGATTAATAGATTAAGTAATACATGAATTGCTATTAATTCAATGTGTCATTGTGTATTAATTCCTTAATAACATATTTTATTAACTAATAGTGTAAATTAATGTGTTAATTACCACAATTAGTCAAAGCTATGCTCTTCAACTTCCCACATCATTATTAACTAGTCATTTAGTAATTGTAGTAGTTTTCGCATGTATTTGCACTAACAATTAAGTAAGTAATCATGTATTAATGCATATTAGTGTACCTGTCATTTTATCTGGAAGTTGAAATACAAGGCTTTGGCTCATTCTGGTAATTAACATATTAATTAACACTATTAGTTAAAAAATGAGTTATTATGGAATTAATCCACAATTACATATTTAATTAAAAACAATTCATGTATGAACTAATACATTAACCTTACAGACTCTTAATTAGTTCCTAATGTGGTAATCATTAATGAATAGCTTTGATAATCATTACTTACACATTAATTCAGTATTATCTGTGCATTAGTTAAGCATGAATTAATGCGTATTAGTGCACCCTTATTGTAAAGTGTTACCAACTTTTATTATAAACAGTTCATTCAAAGTTATATTAGTATAAGCCCACTGGATACATCAATTTCTAAGCAAAAGTACTCAAACGCTCATGAAATGTGCCCAGGCAGCAGTGAGTTGTCATGTTGTCCCTCTGGTAGGTGATCTGTTTTTCCAGGTCGCAGAAAGAACCAAAAAAAAAAAGCTCAAGAAAATTAGCGAGCCGTTTTAAAGCTCCACAAACAATTACTGCTACTTGGAGAGGAATGAGAGCTGAACGAAACCGGCTCAGGGGATACTCGTGTAACACTATACGCTATTGCACTGAAGATCACGATGACATATTCAAGGCTCTGCCTTTCACTGACGCTGAAGGTCAAAGTCTGTGAAAGCGTAAGATTAAACACAAAGCATGAGATGAATGTGGACGTGAACTTTTTTTGGAAGTAATGAATATGTGGAACTTGAAACAATAGAAGTATTTTATCCACCTAGTAAGTCAAGTGTCCGCTGTAATAAAAGAGCTTCCTCATGCAGTCTCGCTGACAACGTAGCATTAAGAAAAAGGCCGTCGTCGTCTCTTGTTTGCTGAAGTTATTAGAGTTGGGGTTCCTGATCAAAAATGTGTACGCACATATAGCACGCTTTATGTCGCCCATGTAACGCAACATCTTTGCCAGGACCTACAACTAACCAGGTATGAAATGTCTACATACATTTGAAGATGGAGCATTTTGATTTACATGTTTAAAGCTTAGAGTATACACTCGGCTGCCAAAGTCAACAGCAGCTGCCGCTCTTGTTTTTCCCAAATGGTTTAGCAGGACGTTAAACATTTTGACAAAATTATCTAACTTGCTTGACTCCACTGCTGCAGCCTCTGACCTCATTGCTAAATGTGTTTACCCTGGCTGAAATGGCCCATTTAGACTCCTTTTACTTCGCAAATACTAGTGTCATTTTCTGAAGCTAATATTAAAAAATATGCCAGTGAAAATACATCTAGCGGGATGCAGGGAGGCAGAAGTGTTCGTAGCTGTGGAGCGTGTTCACCGGCCTGGAGGGCCGAGGGGCTTAATGGGTGGCATCGGCACCTCAACATGTTTTGTAGGTGACAGTTTTACAGTAAAATTGCAAATAGCTGATCCTGGTGTTCCTTAATGGTAATTAGAAAGGTTTCTATTAATGAGAGGATATAAAAAAATTCCATTATTTATGGGAGTAAGCTTTGGGGTTGGTAAGATTTTTAAGTCTTTTAGCCAAAGCTGCATTTATTTCTGTCAAAAATACAGTAGCCTACATACTGTTAAATAGTATTACGATTTAAAAGAAATTTTTCTATTTTTGAATATAATCTATTTTACTCCAGTCTTCAGTGTCACATGATCCTTCAGAAATCATTTTAATATACTGATTTGCTGCTAAAGAAATATTTCTTCCCTTTTTTTTATGGGTGGGACCTTGATACACTACCACTCAAAAGTGTAAAGTAGATTATAAAAAGAGGAAGGAATTAAATATTTTATTCAGCAAGGACACATTCAATTGATTAAAGTGACAGTAAAGACATTTATGTGACAATAATATTATAATAATAATACATTTTTCGATTTCAAATACATTTTTGAACTTTTGAACTTTCTATTCAATGAATCCTGAAATAACAAGCAGCAAAAATATTTAACATAATAAGATCCATTACTAATAATTGAGCACCAAATCGCAATAAATTATATTTTAAAATTGTAAAGTGTATTTTCTAACTGTATTTTTGATCAAATGAATATTAATCATAGTATATACATATACGTATGTTGTTCTAAGTCTGATAAGTCTCGTAAGATATAGTCATAAAAACTCTAATTCCTTAAAGGAGTAGTTTACTTCATCCAAGATGTCCATGTCTTTCTTTCTTCAGTCGAAAAGAAATAAAGGTTTTTGATGAAAACATTCCAGGATTTTCTCCATATAATGGACTTCAATGGGAACCAAATGGTTCAAGGTCCAAATGAGAGTTTCAGTGCAGCTTCAAAGGGCTTTAAACGACACCAGACGATGAAAAAGGGTCTTATCTAGCGAAACGATCGGTCATTTAAAAAATTAATGAAAAAGTTTAAGTTTTATAAGCACAAATGCTCGCCTTGCTCTGTTCTGTGATGAGCG